TTGTTATTGGCAGAAGAAGATGGTTTATCACAGACTTTCCGTGCTGCAGGTCTTTGTGCAGTGATACAATGGGCATTTGGCAACAAGATTTTCATCGGTTTCATCGCCCAGTCTGAAAACTTGCTGGTGAATCTACATGAAAATGTGGTCAAAATGACACTGAACCGTTTGATAATGACTGTCCGACGCAGTGATATATAAAATTCGGGGAAAATAAAAACCTGCGAGCCATATCATTACTTTACCCACTTCCTCCTGTCTTTGACTGATCAACCGCAACGGATCTGGGGTCCAGCTCCGTCTAAATTCCAGTTGAATTCTTTGCTTTCCTTCATTCACGACCTTCTGATTCTGTGTGCCTCTCGCGTGCCACATTCATAATTTCAACCAATAGGCAACATGAAGAACTCAAAAAATCGTATCCGTGTATGTCGAATAGAAAGTCCCAATTTGAGTTAATTTGGCTTCTCCTTTCTTTGCAGCATCCGAATAATTCATTTCACTTCGGGTAGCTCCTAATATGTAGCATACCTGTGCTGAAGATGCTGCAAGTATGGCATTGCAAACTTTTCCATCAACTAGAGTGAGCAATCAAATTGCAGGTAACCAGAAATTCCATTCCTGTTTTCTCTTCGGGTAGCTCCTAATATGTAGCATACCTGTGCTGAAGATGCTGCAAGTATGGCATTGCAAACTTTTCCATCAACTAGAGTGAGCAATCAAATTGCAGGTAACCAGAAATTCCATTCCTGGAATGAAGTTGTTATTGAATTTTTTTTCCATTTTTCTCTCTGGATGAAATTAATATCTGCCTTAGCAATATCAACTGATTCCTTTTTAAAATGAAAACGGATTGGACGGCAGAAATTAATTGAGTTGGGTATTGGATTCTGGCAAGTTAACATGATCCAGATGGATCTTACTGATAAACTAGCACCTGGATTGGCACCATTGTTGAAATGAATATGATTTCCTCTGCTTGGTTTCCCTCTGCAGTATTTCAAAATATTGTTTTTTTGTATACACGGTCCAGTGGCCGCATTAAAACTCCAATTGCTCATTAGGACGATTCATTTCGACGTTCTCGAACTTTAGGCATTTCAAGGCAAGTTGTTGAGAAAGTAAGATGTGTGCAGATCAAGGAATTTCGGAAATTTAACTTTGTCTGAAGTCACATTAATCATGATTCCCTCAGGGCAACAAGCATTTTGACCCTCATGAGACTTCATAATGCCTTGGATATGTCAGCTCCTCTAGCTTTGGCTTGAAGACGATTGAGTCTAACTGAAGCCTTCTCAAAGCTTCTTCCTTGGTAAAAGCCAGCAATTGGTTGTTTTGCAGATTCCGTCATGGTTTGTCGAATCTGTGTGGCTCTTTCAGGTGATAAATATACTGATTTCTGCACTAGGTCATCATCATCATCATCATCATCATCATCATGTCACTTTCGATCCACTGCTGGATGAAGGCCTCTTCCATCTGGCGCCAAATTACTTTGTCTTGAGCTTTTCTGTTCCATTTTTCATCAGCTATCTTAACTATTTCATCTTTCCATCGCCATTTCTGTCTTCCCCTGTTCCTTGTTGCACCTCTTGGGAACCATAGCGTAATTACCTTGGTACATCTTCCATCTAGCTTTCGGGCAAGGTGTCGTGCCCATTTCCATTTTCCATGCTTTATCTTCACAATGAAGTCTTCTAGCTGAGTCTGCTCCCTGATCAGCTCGCCTAGTGAAAAGGTCTAGTGGAAACAAAAGCTACGAGGATTTTTCTTCGTTCGTGCGCTTATTTGCCTTGGCTTTACCCATCCAGGACGTCCTCGGTGCCTACAATGCTCTTCTCCCACAAACTCCTGAATACGGACAGTAGATCGCAACTACTTCCGAGAATTCAGGATCGAACATGCGAACCCGTCCTCGCATACCCATTTCCCATTAGGCATGTCAAACGCCCAGAAAGCTTCGAAAAACGAAGATCCTCGAACGAACAATTCCGTGGGAGGATGGAATCGAAGGTTCGCATCACGCCTGCCATTGGATCACTCAAATTTGTGGAGCTCGGAATTCCTCCAGGAATCGATTAAGGTGGAAAAGAGAGGGACTTTTCTCGGACCCGACCGAAAGTGGTTCAGCGCTATCGCAGGATTCAACCATTCGTAACGACAATGCAGACAGGTGTCCTGGACTTTCTCTCGAGTATTGCCCATAATCTGGAGTTTTGAATCCCTCCTTTTGATTCCTAAGACCTAAGCATTCCATAGAAGAAATTGTCATTCGACATTTTGGCGATTCGAATTTTCTTGTTTTTTTCTTTCGGTGGATTCGAGACACTGGTTCATTCTAAGTCGATGGCCTCTGTCGTGCTTCGCGTAGTAGTGGCACTTCTCGAGCACTCTTGGGTTTGACGCTGCTTCGAGTACTTTCAAAAGGGACATTTTAACGCAATGCTAACGTTCGCGTTAATGCTGCAATGAACTTGTTCCTGGCGTCTCTCCGACATCCTTGTTTTGACAACCCCACTCGCCTATTCCACAATAATTGAAGCGATCCCTCGACACTTGTCGAGCGCGTTGATCTCCACATGCGTGCTGTCGTTCCAATCACCCTCAGGGAGCAAAATCCTTTAATATTTAAAAAATTGCTGCAAAGAAAAAACGTGCTGGGTCTGGGCGTCGTCATGCTGCAGATCCACGACCACTCCCATCTTCTCATTCTGATAATAAAGGAAAAGTGGGAGGCACTGTGATGGATTCGGCAGCACGACAACGCCCAGACCCAGCACGTCCCAGTGATTTCCTCTTCTTCCCTTCGATAAAGGAGCAAAGGAAGACTTGAGGACGTTTAAAACTGCATTACATATGCGACGCGAGCTCTGCTGGCTATTCCAAGAGACGAGTACCAGTGATGCTTGCTGTGTCTGAAGAAACGCTGGAAAAATTGTGTAGATGTCGAAGGGGACTACTTCGAAGGATATAGGCAGCAGAAGCCGGACAGAGTCGCCATAACGTTATTTTAAAAAATCCTGTCTCAGAACTTTTTGATCAGACTTTATATTTTAAAGTATTTTGTATTTATACAACATGAAAGTATTTTGGATATCAGATCTCATTGGAACTATAGCCATTCTGTAGCGGCTGGATACTCCTCGAAGGACCAATCAAAAATGGCGATCTGTCTACGTTTCCCCCTTTCTCCTTTCCGCTCTCTCGGGGGTAATGGGATGGGAGCAAGCATTCTTCTTCCCAGAAAGTTAAAAAAAAAAGGCTTCGCTCTCGAACCGGAAGCGTTACGTCTGAGAAAAATTGTTGAAACGGGGTAATTTGCTTCTCTGATGAGCAACGATGTGTAACCAGAAGACGACCGTATTGCATTATGGAATCACTTGCAATTTTTTGGACTCCGAAGACTGACGAAAGCACGAAACAGTTCAGCATGGAAACAGGAAGGAGAGTTTTACTTACCCTATTAAGTATCTTTTTTTCTGTAGAATTCTAAAAAAAAAGAAGAAAAAGTTACATCTTATATTGAAATGTGTCCACAGTCGATGAAAAAAGTTATGAGAGAATAAGGAAGAGATCTGCTTTGCGGCAATGACATTCATATGAGAAAATTGTGAGGAACATTGCAATAAATTTTCCGCCAAAATTGCCTTACTGCAAATAGGACGATGGGACGATATGGGTTAATCCATCGCATGTGTTCTGAAAACGAGGGACTCTTCCAAGTTCTAACGCGACGCAGAATGTGCGTCCACCTTTAATAGCTCCACTGAAATGGAAAATGCTAAATGAACGCGATTCTGACCCTCCGCATCAGCATGGAGCGAGGGAAACGACAAATCTCATTATGGTAAGTTGCATTCCCCCGGGAAATCGCCACCCCGCCGAAGAGTCTCAGAAACGTGACGGAAGGAAACGTCCCGAGAGAGGTTTTGACTCGCAAATCACGAGGACGTGAACACGTTATGCATCAGCAATGGAAAGATGATGTCGGGGTTTCGCACGAGACGACTCCGTCTCGAGCGAAATATGCGAAATTTGCAGAACCATTTAATCTCTGCCGATGTTTTTTTTGACCCGATGTTCGACGCGCAGAATGCAGCCGTCAGTTTAGTTAGAAGCAAGTATCATGGGAAGTTTAAATATTTCCCACCGTTTTGCAATTTGCTGCTCGGAGACGTTTAAAACGGAGAAGTCCGTCTCCTGCTTACCATGCGACACGATACTGCTTACTCGGGGTCGGCAGTAGAAGCCCCCCGATCCCAGAGGGCCCCGGCCACGAGAAGCAAGAATAAATTAATGATAAAACAGAAAGAAAGGTGAAAGAAAGAAAGGAATCCCCTTCTCACACCGGATGGTGCAAATCGGATCGACGGGCGAAATCGCCTGGTGCGAAAATGTTCTTCGAAATAATTCGGCAGGCAGCTGTAAAGTCATACCGTCTGTTGGGCTATCGCTCGCTCGCTGGTCGAAAGCACCCGGAAAAACCTTGAGCGGGGAGGAAACGGCTTCGAGGGTGCAACGACGAGCGTTAAGGAACTGGCATGAGAAATAGCAGCTACGGCGGAACTGTCGAACTCGTGTTAGGACCCGAGACGTGTGAGTTGGGAATCCGAGGATCGGCATTCCGTGGTGCTATTGAATCTGCAGGGTGAGCCAAAAAGTCTTTTATGGACTTTAAAATCTGCTTCATCAGCAAAGAGGATAGCTATTTCATGGAACTGATTTACAAGGGAAAACTTTTCCTCTAGAATTCCCTGTTTTTTTCTCTGCCAGATTCGAGGAGGAGACGTGAAACATTTCCACTTTGGGGCCCCGTATATTGTGTCCCAATTGGATTTTTCCAATTTCATACATCAAGTCGAGTGCAATGGGCTTCGTCGAGAGGGCATCTCCCACATGTGATGTATACGCTCGAGTCCACGTCTCCAAGACGTATCCCGTGTTCCTCAAAACTATATATAAGTGACGAGCACCCTTCACCTTAGATTTCATAGCATTCATCAATTTTTCCATTGCATCGGAAAGGGTCGACGATAGGTCCGCCGATAGGTCCGCCAGAAGTATCCTCCCCTACCTTTGTGAAGAGATCGGAGCATGGTCAACCAGTGGTCACCGTAGGATTTGTACCATTCCTCTCCGTCATCAACAAACATGTGGTCGAATGGCGGTTTCTGTGTCTTGAAGACTTCGTGCAGGTCCTCCAATATCACATGCTGAGCCGATTCGGAGAGATCCTTTATATAAGCATTCAATTTCTGTAACAATATCCTGAGTGTCGTCAGCGCAACATGGATCATCTCTCGTTCGCGGGAATGTTGGGTAATTTTAATCGATTGCATTTCCTTCGCCAAAGATTGGACGCTGCGGACTAAGTTCTGCATTGCATCCGTTGACGGAGTGAAGGACTCAAATAAACTTCCAGCTTTCCTCACGGCCTCCGTCCATTTCTCCGCCACATTAAGTCCGGGTTCGAAGGTAGCCATGCAGCTTCTGAGGAACTCGTAGCATAGGAATATTTCCCAACTTGCATTCTTCCACATCGAGATGTTCAAGGTCAAACCAACATGATTCGAGGGTGGTTCATAATTCTCGTCTGCCTTCCCCTCTTGGGATTCCAGACAATAAGTTATTTTCAATTCTTCCCACTGAAGGTCCCATAAAGTAGTCGAGGATTGCAAGCAGCAAATGATGACATTCTTCTTTAGAATCCCCCATACCTTTTTCCTTTCCTCCTCATCGTTCGTTCCTTTGATCCACTTCCTGAGCTCAGCCATAGCGGACGTGAAGAGGAGGTCGTACAGTGTCCTCCACAATTTATTGGCTACATGAGTGTTCCTGCGGATGAGGAGGATCCTCTCGTTCTTGTCCTCGATGGGTCCTCGAGAAAACCAAGACATGACGATGTTCCTGATCTTTTCCTGAACAATCCACGTCTTCCCAGTCCCGGCTGCTCCTTTCAGCACGAATTCCTTCGGTCCGTTCACCAGGATGTCCAGCTTGTCTTTGGTCAGGAAAGACAGATTTTGTCTGTTGAATCGGGCAGTGAAGGCCGGGGTTGCATATGCTGGTGCGATATAACTGAGAGAAAAAAAAACCAAGCGTTGACTTTTACTCGTAAAATACGACCATCAATTTATTTTCTTCATTACTTTCCCGATCCCATGTACACCGTATATCACAATTACCAATTGTTTTGTAATTTTTTACTATACAGTGTGAGTAAAAAGTACTTTCCACCTTTTAAATGATGATAACTTTTGATTGCAAGACTAGATTGAGACCTGGTCTCGACCATTCGGAGGGCAAGACATATCCTCTATCTAGTGTTACGTTTTCGCATTATTTGTTCAATTGCTTTCCCCCTGATCTTCAAATACAGGGTGTCCATAAAGTGACTAAGTGATAAGACTACCCGTGGACAACTTTTTCCTTGCTGAATCTATGGGAACTAACTTTTTTATTTTTGTAGGCTGTTACGATTAGACCTCGGAATGGTGTTACATCTTTTGTTTCTTCACTCTATTGTCACCGAAAATTCATTCCAAAAAAACCTTGTTTCTATTACAAGTTCAGACATATGGAGTGTCGCATTCCGAATTGTCGCCCAGGGCAAATAACCTCCACGATCTTCGGATATTGTTCCCTTTGGATTTTTTAATTATCTCTGCGGATACTTAAAAGGCATTGTTTATACAAGGACAAGCACACAGGTCTGAACAACTTGAAAGAGAATAAGTCTTATCTCTAGTGCCACTTAACAGAAAAATGATGAAATTCTTATGGAAGGAACAATACAATTGCCAGGGTTCAGACATGCGTAGAAGTCGGCGGTCGACACATTGAGCTAATTTGTCGAGTAAATTCCTAATTTTTATGATTTGGAATTCGGAATTTGGAATATTATTCAATCAATACCGTGATAACTGTAAGAAGTTGTTGCAATAGGGTCGAACGGCAAAAATTTCCTCGAATCGTTATCTGAATTTCTTCTTCATTCAAATGAATAAAAAGTCATGAAACACCAAATGTGGGAAATTATTTATCCGCCGTGCCAAAGTGGAAGGAGAAAAGATATGACGCTATTCCACTTATGGACACCTTGTATATTCCCTTTTGGGGAGTTCTTCTACTAGTATTGTATTCAAACCTGGAAACGTGCTTGCACGCTGTGACTAGATTCCAATTCAATGAAACTTGACAAAAATGACTGAGGAGCGAGTAGCCATCCGTAGCGTATAGCAGAAGTTCAGCTTTTTTCCAAATTGATCCAAAACGTAAAGAAACCCTCTTGAAAATTCATGAAAACGAACTGCAGGGAAAGCTTCAGCCGCTCTTCGTACTTTCATATGAATTCGAATATTGACACAATTGGGACAATAGCGGGCCTGGCCGGCTTCGGAGGTTCATGAACAGATCGATTTTTCTGTAAAAAAAAAAACAACTTAGATAAAAAGGAATATTAAGCAATCGCTTTGAAGTGGAGGCTGTTGGTTACAGCTGCTACCACGATTCCTCTGCATTAGTCGGGCTGCGACTCTCAAGCTGATGGCTTGTGTTGCTCTTGTTTGAAATTAAGTTAAAGTGTTACGCAGAGAATTTTCTTGGTTTCTGTATGATCTAAGTTGCATTGCTATCCGATCTCTCTGTCGTGAGTTTTTACCGGTTTAAGGTGGGCTGGACTTTTGACTCTCCCTGTATATGCATCGACATCATGTAACTCGTTTCCATCGGAAATTCCTATTTGGACGGTAACAACAGATATCAGGATGACATAAAAAAAATTGCATATCTTTTACTCTTTCCATTGGGTGACTGGAAGCGATAATTTATTGAGTCATTACTAATCGGAATCTTCTCGTTTCGAAGAATCTCATTTTCCCTAAATGCTGCTGAATCTTAATTATGCAGGAGCGAAATTTGTCCCAGTTTTACTATCTACAGCGATCGAAATTGCCCTAGAGCGGCCCAAATGACTCTAGAGAGTACTATATTGTTTAATATGCCCCTCTTGAGCCTAATTACTCTGCTGAGAAAAGCTGTACTACCGTCATCCATGAGTCACTTCAAGTTACATCATTGTCAGGGTAATAAAAATAATGGTGTATTGATATTTCGAGTGAGGTGATGCATTTAAAAACTAAAAAAACTAACCCATAATGGTGTACCCCAGACCCGAACAGGTAGAACATGTTTTGCTACATGTAAAGGCTGACTGTTCAAAGGTAATGGCAAAGTCCAGAGAAATGGGCTCAGTTACTAATGCTATCATGATTTTAGGCAACAATACCGAAATAGGGGCACAACAGGTGACAACAATATAGTTGGCATTGATAGCTTTACATCATTAAGGGTAATGAGAGGGACTGTGGGAATTAGTCATCAATCATTTCATTGCATTTTCAAAATGAACAAACTTCATCCATTCATTATGTGATTTTACCAAGAAGTATTGGAAGATGACCCAGACCGACGAACATATTCGTGAAATTGAGATGAAGTCCCTTGATGCTGATGCAACAAACATACCCCATAACTGTTTCACTGATGAGACCACCTATATGCTAAAAGGTTAAAGAGGTCGGCGCAAGTGCCGATGCTAGAACGACCATAGTCCATACAGGATGGTCGAGACACGTGCAAGCCCCTGGAAACCGAATGTATGGCTTGGTGATTAAGAGGTGAGACATCATTCGTATTGGGCCAAGGTACATACAGTTACCGGATGAGTAAATTTATCTCGCTTTTGATTGATTTGCACAAAGATGTGAAGTTATATATGCACGATGGTACCCCAGCTCTATTCGCTTGGCATGTTCGTCAATGTCGTGACAATAGGTCCCCCAACAAGCGGATTGGACGACGAGGTACGATTGACAGATCTCGTTCTTCTGATCTTGCCCCATCTGTACTTTTTCTGCGGGATTTTATATCCAAGACTCTATATGCCAGACACGTCTAAACACTCCAAACGATACAGAACAGCGCACATGAGACATCATGCTGGCTATTACACCAGAACATAGGCAAACGGGCGTTGGACATATGAGGTACGTCTGCCTCCCTGTCCTACCAGACGAAGGTGCTCAACTGAAATTGAAAACTCAATGTGAATGGACCCAGAGGAAAAAAGTAAATTACAGTCGACTACCCATAATGAAATACCACTTAATGGAATACCATTGCGTGGTCCCGATTTACGGTAAGATACAGCAGATAGGTTATTGGAATGCTTTGAATTATAGATTCAAGTTCCGTGGTCCCGTGACTATTCCAATAAGCCGAGTTGACTGTAAATATATTCAAATTCGTAAAGCCTTTCATGCCTTGAGAAAGAACGGGCAGCGGAATTCAGGTAGCCTCTTTTATAAGTCATTTGGATGTTTCATGAATGGAAGATGCACTTGGTAACCTGGGGCGAGTAGGTCAGAAAATCTGGGTAACAATGGGGAATTTTCATAAATGTGGGTCTGTCTAGGACAATCAAGGGTCACGTTGGCTCAATGGAACAATTTAGGTCAATTTTATTAAATTTTGGTTACTCTCGGAAAGGTATTTTGAAGTTTTGCGAATGACTTAGTTTGGGTCACTATGGATCAATTTTAGAATACGAGGATCACTTTAACCGGTAAAAATTTAAACAGTTCTTAAGGGGCCCTAAAAGTGGGATCCATGCAGCACTACTCCTTCAGCTAGCTCCAAAAACGGGCGTTCGAAAGAGTCAAGTCTGATGAGCAAGCCAGGTACGGAAAATTCCATCTCCTCAAGATGAGGTTTTCTAATTTGACAAGCTCTCAGTTGGTTCTTCGTGCAGTGTTATTACATGGTTTCAGAGGGTGAAAAGTTTAAATTTTGGACATAATGCTCCAAATACCTTCAATACGCTGTATATTCGAGCTAAACAACTTGGTTTGAATTCTTAGAAATGCGTCCTTGATTCTTTATGGGTGAATTCTGAACTAAAAGTGGTCTGACAGAATGTCCTTCGTTTGTATTGACGACCATATCATAGGGCTAGGACTACAGTAGTAGCTCCAAAAAGTTCTTTGCGTGAGGATTTGATCGAACCTGTCAAGGAACCTTTCCAACAGATTCCTCACCATAACTCTTAAAATAAGGTTCTACGAGCCAAATTATTCCATTCAGTGTTAAAAAAAGGCTTTTTCTTCCCCTAAATTACCTGTTGCAAATTTACATATTAAATGTACATTTCGGTCACGTTTCTTGGGCCACCGATTGATTCCCGACTTGTGTTACACTCTGTTATGGGAAGTGCTATGGGAAGTTCCTGTGGAGATGGAGATGGAGATGCGGGGATGATCTTATCTCCTCACGTTAAGGAAATTATGGGGGAAAAAATTATCGGGGGAGAATAGGAATAAAAAATAGATCAATTTCCTCATCTGTGAAAATATGTACTGGCTCTCTTTCTGCAAGTAAATTCTATCCGCTCAGACGACCAATCGCGACTGCCACCTTATCTCAAACATAGGGACATTTCATAGGTGGACATTGAATTGTGATTTGTGTATCCCAGACATGCCTTACATTGCGAGAAGACTTATGTAGGTCTCGTCCTTGATGGTGAAGCTCTGAAGATGTTCGGACTGGAGGATATGCTTCTGCCACCATTCTTCGAGGGATTTAGCAGAACTGCAATCTTCTTCGCAGAGGAAAACAAGACCGACGCCAGATGGCCTTTCATGCACCCATTCTCTTTTCACTGTTGGCAGCGCAATAACCGACAGGGACACGTTGATGTTTTCCAGACCGCACTCTCTCATGGCGTTTTCCAATTTTATTCTAGTGGCAGACACACTTCGAATTTTCATTTCCAGCTGTTTGGCGGCTGTCTTGATATTCTTCGTTGCATCTCCTACTCCTTTTTCTGTCTTCTCGGGATTCAGATTCTTTATTTGGATTAAGATTGCCCCAAAGTTACGATGTATGAGGACGATGTCATGCCCTTCCGATTCCAGGATGCCTTCGATGCCTCCCCCGACGTTCCGCGTCTTGATGAGGTGGACGAAGTCTGAGTTATATGTGATGAAAATTGATGACCGGTTTCTCTGTCCGAGCTGATGCAGACGTAGAATGAGGGATCGCTCCGTTTTCCCCCTTCGGGTTCTGGCAGATTTGATCCATTCATTCTTGTACTGAACAGGTGGGAAAAGGTGAGTCGTGTTCCTGGTTTTCAAATCAGGGTATGTCCTCCTGATGAAATTTTCGGCTTGATATAGCCATGTTGTTTCCCTCGCTGGAGGACTGCCTCTCCCCATGTTGGCAACTGAAGTGGAAACAGTGTAAGACAAAGTAAGGCAAACTGATCCTTTGTATATTAACCAAAAGCCTTTCGGTGCATAGCATATCAAGATTCGCGAGGGAACACTCCTCCAGAATCCAGTATTCAAGACTAATAAGCATGAGAAATCCTGAGAGGGCAGTTCGCTTTTAACCCTTCTGAGAAGTGCTTTGTACTTAAACCGCACTTTTTCTTCAAATCACGGTAAGAAAGCGAGATTTCAGAGACAAGTGCATGAAAATCATGACAACTCCGGAAAGGCATCGATTATACAGTCCCATTTATCGCGGACGATTTTAATCGAGTATAAAATTCTTCCTACTTGAGCAAACTAAACAAAATGTTCACAATAGTTAGATGTCTGTTTAGCATTTACTGTGACAAAGTTTCAGCCAAAACAAATTCACCAATTACAATCTATTAACTTCAGCATGCCCCCCGCCGATTTCAAGCACTTTTCCAATCGTGCCTGGTATTCAAGCAGCGTTTTCTGGCGCATTTCAACGGTAATGTCTCCAAACGCAGCGGTAATACGTTCCTTCAGTTCGGGAATGTCCCTCGGTTTGGTCGCACAGACTTTTTCGACTAGACAAAGCCCCACATGAAGATGAAGAAGTCGCACGGCCTTAAGTCAGGAGAATAGGCCGGCCACGGCATTGTTGGTGATCCACGACCCATCCATCGATCCGGAAACTTTCGTTCAGCCAGGCACGAACTTCTTTACCGAAATGAGGCGGGGCACCATCCTGCATGAAGACCAGATCATCAGCCGATCCTTGTGATTCAATTTCTGGCCAGAATTTTTCTTTGGCATTGAGGATGGTGCCTCCCCCCTCATTTCGGTAAATAAGTTCGTGCCTGGCTCAGTTTGCTTAGTGCCTTAGTTTGCTCAAGTAGGAAGAATTTTATACGCGGTTAAAATCGTCCGCGATAAATGGGACATCCTGTATATTGAATGGTCTAGAAAATCAGAAATATCAACTTTAGTTTGCTAGGGGGAAGGGGGTATCCCAGAGCCATAACATATTTGACGGTCTCCTCCGAGCAAAACCAGAGAAAGTGACCAAGTTTTTGCTTTTTTTGCATGCCGTAGTTGTCTTTAACTTAAGTTAGCTCATTCTGGGTCACTTTCAGTTTCTTGGGGCCCTTATTTTGTCAGTCTGAGACTGTTAAGGTTACTCGTGGTCACTTGGTCAAAATTTCGTTATTTAGATCAGCGATTCCCAAACTGTGGGTCGCGTACATTTTCGCAACATACAAAATCATTAAATTCGCATCCGCTCAGAATAAAACATGCCCTGCAGAAAAGGTTGATCAGTTTTCTTCACATCATAATTACTTTGAAAATACATCGTTCTGGATTCCTGTGGGTAACGAAATTTTTTGTACGTCAGCAAGTGGGTCGCGATTCATAGAAGTCTGGGAACCGCTGATTTAGATTATCTTATTATTATGATATTATTACTTTCTCAAAATATAATATGTTAAATTTTTATAGCCAAGGCAGCGAATACCCATCTTAAGGACTCTTATTATGGAGAACGCATTTTAAAACAACTAATACCCACAAAAAATGAAAACAGTTCAACACTTATTTTTAGCAACATTTTTTACCATTTTGAATGTTTCACTTCTTTTTGGTAGCGATGGAAATCCGTCAAAAATAACGTCTGAACCAAAGGAAGAAGTAGTTTGTAGTATTTCAGACTTTGTGGTAACAGGTTCTGCCTGTACTGGTGAACTAATTGATTTAAGCTTTTCTTTTAATGGGGTAGATTTTGGACTAAATGGGTACACATTTGGAGTGGTAGGGGATTGGTCAAATGAATATACTCTTGGTGATGAACAGGTCATTACTTTAATTGCTTTATGTAATGAAAATTATGAGTTTTTTATTTATGATAATGACAATCCCAACTGTATGGCTACCTTTAACTATGGTTCTGTATGTTGTGAATGTGAAATAAATATTGAAGTACTTCAAGGTTCATGTAACGATGGAAGTTTAACCACAACTTTTAGCATCAATGAAAGTGCGGGATCATGTACAAATTATAATCCTAGTCTTCAAGTAAATGGTACAGCCGTCCCTTTTGATTATAATAGGAATACAGGTTTATACGAAACTGAAGATATTATTTCTAGCGAAGAGTTTATCACATATGTAATTTGTACTGAAGTACCTGATTTGAATGAATGTTTTGAGTACGTTTTGCCAAATCCATGTTTTACGTCTATAGGTGATTTTACCGCTGTCATAAATACTGCATCGTGTGTAGATGGTACGATGGCAATCCCTTTTAGTTTTACAGGCGAAAATTTTGGTTTACAAGGATTTACCATAAACACAAGCATAGGCATTAGTCAATCCTACATGCCTGGTGATGTGTTTGAATTAATACTTCCTGCCGCATGCAGTGAATCTGTGTTGCTGACAATAGTGGACGATGCCAATCCAAATAATTTTTCAGAATATCAGTTAGGTATTGTTTGTTGTCCATGCGGTCCTATTTATGCAGCAAGTACAACTCAATGTCTTAATGAATCATTTATTGTGAATATTGATTTTGGAAATGACGAACAATCTTGTGGCGCAGGCGAATGGACGCTTGCTATAGGAGACCAAGAAGTTGCACTCTACGAAACGAATACAGGATATGCTTCATCAGCTTTATCAAGTAGCGATACGTTAATATTATTGACCTTGTGTAGTGTCGTTCCTGGTGGTCAAGAATGTTACCAAGACACACTAGTTAATCCATGTTTCCAAACCACATCAACAGATACGTGTCAGCTTACAAGTTTTGTTGTCGCATCAGACATCAATTCTTGCAGAGGTGAGATCATAGATTTGAACTTTAGTTTCGAAAGTACTTCATTCGGTACCAATGGGTATACCGTCAGTTCAAATACTGGATTTAGCGAGACATTTAGCCTAGCAGATACTACTTTGTTGACATTACTTGCAGACTGTGACGAAACGCTTATCTTCGCCATTAGAGATAACAATGATACATTATGTACGGCAGTCGATACAATAGCTTCATTGTGTTGTCCATGCGAACCATCATTTTCAGTAAGTGCTAGTTCTTGTGTAGGAAATAGTTTTAACCTTAATTACGTTCTAGACAGTATCAGTGGATCATGTATTAATCATGATTGGTCCCTTACGATCAATGGTGATACTATCGACTTAAATCAAACCAATACAGGATTTATTGCCACAGGTATTCAGAGTTCAGACTCCTTGATTATTTATGAGTTGTGTACTTTAGTACCAGGTTTATCTGAATGTTTCATTGATACGCTAATAAATCCATGTTTCCAGTCCACAAATACAGATAGTTGTCAGCTTACAAGTTTTGCTGTCACATCAGATATCAATTCTTGCAGAGGTGAGATCATAGATTTGAACTTTAGTTTCCAAGGTATTTCATTTGGCACCAATGGATACACCGTCAGTTCTAATACAGGATTTAGCCAAACATTTAGCCTGACAGATACAACTTTGTTGACATTACTTGCAGATTGTGACGAAGCGCTTATCTTCACCATCACAGATACCAATGATGGACTTTGTACAGCAGTAGATACAGTAGGAGCTTTATGTTGTCCATGTGACCCACTTTTTATAGTGAATACCAATACTTGTGAAGGGGATAGTTTTAGCATTAATTTCGTTTTAGACAGTATCAATGGTTCATGTATCAATTATGATTGGTCCCTTACGGTGAATGGAGAGGCTTATGACATAATTCCAACCAACTTTGGTTATACTGCCACAGGCATTCAAAGTTTGGACTCATTGATCATTTACGAATTCTGTACTTTAGTTCCAGGTTTACCAGAGTGTTTCACTTTGACAGCAGTGAATCCTTGTTTTGAAACCATAGTTTCTGTCAAAGAAACACAAATATCAGACTTGGTACGCGTCAATATGATCCATGGTCAACAAATCACTTTGGACAGTAAATACGATCAGCCATTGCAAGTTTTTGTGTATAATGTGAATGGTCAGCAAATGCCGTTTTTACCTATTTTAGGTCCATTACAATCGATGACATATGATATTACTACTTGGCCAGCAGGACTGTATATTCTGAAAGTATCATCTAGTAAATTTACATCTTCGATGAAAATAATGAATGTAAGATAAATATTGGAGTTTCTATTGGAGTTGTAAACTTGTTTGCAACATGACATGGTAATTAGTTTTACAAACTTGTTTTTTTGTTTCCTAAAAACCACGTACAGAGTTAAACGTAAAGTCTCAATTAGTAGCTAATACCAATAGCATAAAAGATATATTTTTGTGAATTTCAGCAAACTCTGCTAAACATTCTTTTGTCCACAGTGTTCCCCTTCTTTTTTTATGGAAGCAAAGGACATAGATAGAATCATAGAAATGGCGTGGGAAGATCGCACACCATTCGAAGCCATCGAAATACAATTTGGTATCTCGGAGTCGCAAGTCATAGCCATCATGCGCAAAGAACTGAAGAGATCGAGCTTCAATCTTTGGCGAGCACGTGTACATAGTGGTGTAAGCCAAAAACATAGTAAAAAACGAAACCCAGAAATCTCTCGTTTTAAATGTAATTTGCAACGTACCATTTCCATGAATAAGATCAGCAAACGATAGTGGATAATGTCACTATTCCACGAAGTCTGCATGTCAAAGAAACCATTTCCATTGTTTGGTTCAAAAGAGATCTTCGACTGTATGACCATGAACCATTCTTCTTAGCGCAGCAATCACAACTTCCCATTTTATTACTTTATTGTTTTGAGCCGTCAGTCATGCAGTATGATGATAGCGATGTACGTCATTGGAGATTTGTGTACGAATCAATTATTGAACTGAATCAAAGACTGTCAGCTTTCGGCACGCAAATCCAAGTTTGTCACAATGAAGTGATCGATGTACTTGATTCACTAAAGAATCATTATGACATCAAACATATCTACTCCCATCAAGAGACAGGAAACAAAGTTACCTACGATAGAGATTTGGCTGTGCAGAAATTCTGTGTTGACCACAACATTATTTGGAAAGAATCGCTTACGAATGGTGTAGTCCGCAAGCTAAAAACAAGAAAAAATTGGGAGTTACGATGGAAAGAAACCATGTCAAAACCAATCATAAAAGCTGACCTAACAAACGTCAACTTTCTATCACTACATCCATTTGTCGGAGAAGCCATCATAGGTCCAGAAATACCATCCGAACTGACAATTCGTAATGAAAATTTCCAACAAGGTGGAGAGACCATCGCATGGAAATATCTGCGTAGTTTCCTTCAAGACAGATATCCTACCTATTCCAAACATATTTCCAAGCCCGAGCTAAGTCGCCGAAGTTGTAGCAGACTTTCACCTTATCTCACTTATGGCAATATCAGTATGCGTGCAGTCTATCAATCTACCATGGAGCGATATCAGACAGCAACAAACAAACGTGCGTTGTCCAATTTTATATCTAGACTACATTGGCATTGTCACTTCATACAAAAGTTTGAAGATGAATGTACTATGGAGTTTCTTCCTGTTAATAGAGCATACGATGCCATGATCAAACCTCGCAATGAAGTACACATCATCGCATGGCAATCAGGTCAGACAGGCGTACCTATCATTGATGCGCGTATGCGATGTCTTGTAGCAACAGGTTATATCAATTTCAGAATGCGCGCTATGGTAGTTTCTTTTTTTGTGTTTAATTTATGGCAAGATTGGCGAGATCTACACTTCCTAGCAAGGCAGTTTCTAGACTATGAGCCAGGCATTCATTATCCCCAAATACACATGCAGTCAGGCATCACAGGTGTCAACACCATCCGAATTTACAATCCAATAAAAAACTCCATAGATCATGACGAAAATGGTGTTTTTATCCGAAAATGGGTACCAGAATTGGCACAAATTCCCCTATCCTTCATCCACGAACCATGGAAGCTAAGTCAAATGGAACAACAGCTTTATGGCTTTGAGTTAGGTCGAGATTATCCTTCACCGATAGTAGATGTAGAAGTAAGTCGTCAGAGAGCAGCAGACATTGTATGGAACTTCCGCAAATCTGATGACGTCAAAACCGAAGGCAAACGCATCCTAGCCAAACACACCAATGCAAAGGGAAAGTTTACGGTGCATAAAAAGCAATGATGAGAATTGGTGAATTATTGGAATTGCGTATTTGCGAAAATAAAGGAACGTTTTTATGTTGTGGGTAATTGAATTAAATCTTCTTTGAACTCATTTCGTAAAATTAATGTTTCTATGAGGTAAATGAGTTTTTAAATAGCAATTGCCAAAAAAATAAACAGAAAATGTCCATAACAGAATTAAAAGAATCAGTGATCCAAAAATTAGAAGATGTAGGAGAGCCTGTATTAAAGGATGTTTTAGAACTCATTAAATTTGAAACATCTACCGAAGTTTACAAAGTCAATAACTTAGAAATGGAATCCATTGAGAAAGGTCTTCGGCAAATTGCTAATGGAGAAATTATTACACATGAACAGGTCAATGAAGAGACAGTAAAATGGCTAAAAAAATAGTTTGGTCACTGCAAGCAAACGAACAGAAAAATGAGATACTTTCTTATTGGTTTCATAGGAATAAATCTTTAGAATATCCAAGAAAGCTTAATAATTTATTAGTTTCTGCGATCAATTTAATAGCTGAATTTTCTTACCCTAGGGTACTAACTGATATTGATGGTGTGTTTGTTAAAATCGTTAAAGACTATAAAATCTTTTACCAAGAAGATTTATTTTGCATTTATATTATTTCCATTTGGGATGCACGACAAGATCCTGAAGATCTAAAAAGGATATTAAAATAAGTCATACTTCTCTTTGTCTTAGCATCTTGCTAAGATACAATATCACAAGGCTTCTAGCCTTATGATATTGGCATTTTGTGCCCTTGTAGTTAATATTTGAACCAATTTTACCGCCAAAACGCTAGTAAATAATCCTATTTGACTACTTTTGCGGCATGAATCAACATTGTTTAATAAGTCTCGAACACATTAGAAAAGAGTACGATTTACCTGAGAAATTCACGTTTCCATTTAGTTACGAACCACATCCTTTGGCTATTTATGCCGTCGAAGACTTAAAGTGTCGTATAGCAACCATTCATGATCGTGATAATCCTGATGAAAAATATGCCACAAGGCAAGGTGTTGGCAAAATGTTTGGTGTGCTAATTGTAATCGACCGCGATAATAGGCTTGGCTATTTAAGTGCTTTCTCAGGCAAATGGGGTGAATTAAATCATTATGAAGGTTTTGTGCCACCGATTTTTGATACATTAGATCCTTCCGGATTTTACAAAATTGAAGAAGCAGAAACCAATGTTATCAACCAAAAAATATCCGATATCGAAAACTCAATACCATATCTCGATGCGAAATCAAATCTTGAAAGGACCAAAAAAGAAGCAGAACTCAAAATAAAAAGCCTTAAGGCACTCATAAAAGAAGAAAAAGCTATTAGGGCACAAAAAAGAATAGATTTTAAGTTGCAGATGAAAGATTCCGAACTTGAAAACGCTTTGAAATCCCTTGATCATCAAAGTATAGCGCTCAGTTATCAACTCAAACATCTTCAAGAAAATACTAATATTGCTTTAAGTGCAGCAAGCGATTCACTGCAATTTTTTGAGCAGCAAATAAATGAGTTGAAAATGGCACGTAGAGCCAAATCTGGCTTACTCCAGAAAAGATTATTTGAATGTTACAACTTCCTTAATGCTCGTGGTGAAACCAAAAATTTGATAGATATATTCGGTATCACAGACGAAACTACACCACCTTCAGGAGCAGGAGAATGTGCAGCCCCGAAATTATTACAATTTGCATTTGCCCATCAGCTAAAACCAATTGCAATGGCAGAGTTTTGGTACGGGAACAGTCCTCAATCTGAAATTCGCAAAGATGGATTATATTATCCTGCTTGCAATAGCAAATGTAAGCCCATACTTGCCCACATGCTAGGTGCGACAGAAACGGATCCAAATCCCATGTTGATCAATCCTGCTTTTGGTAGGGATCTACCCGTATTATATGAAGATGCTCAAATCATCATAGTCAATAAGCCAATCGAATTTTTGTCGGTGCCAGGGAAAGAAATAAGTGACTCTGTTTACACACGCATACTAGCAGCTTATCCAGACATTACAGGACCTGTGATCATTCACAGACTTGATATGTCCACTTCTGGCATTATGATACTTGCACGTGACAAAGAAAGTCATTTTCATATCCAAAGCCAGTTTATTCGTCATAAGATCACTAAAAAATATATTGCCCTTCTAGACGGAATTGTAAAATCTGAAGCGGGGACAATAAACCTTCCGCTCCGTGTGGACCTAGATGATCGACCTCGTCAGGTAGTTTGCCATACATTCGGTAAGGAATCTATTACTAAATGGGAACGCTTAGAGATCAAAAAAAATCAAACGCGTGTGGCCTTCTATCCACAAACTGGCAGAACCCATCAGCTTCGGGTACATTCGGCACATCAATTGGGGCTAGGAATTCCTATAGTAGGGGATGATCTGTATGGATCACGCGCTGATAGACTATTTTTGCACGCGGCAGCTATCAGTTTTATCCACCCGAGTACAAAACAAAAAATGAATATCGAAGTAGATGCCCCATTTTAGTGGAAAATGGCACAACCTAATATTGTTAGTAAGTTTTGTTTAGCTTTACAAAACATTTATTCGCAAAAACTTGAATTATGACACATAAAACTTTTGTATCGAAGGCGACAGAATGACATTTTGGAAATAAACTGTTAATCCCACACTTCACAAAACATCCTTCCATTTCTATTGTTCTCCCTCCCACAACAAATAAGAAGTGTTTTGCAAAACGTAAAAAAATCTGATCTCCCTTCCAAAATTTGTATTGTATGTGGAAGACCATTCACTTGGCGTAAAAAATGGGAAAAGGTGTGGCATGAAGTCAAATATTGTAGTGATAAGTGTAGAATGCATAAAAATAAGGCGACATGACTATAGGTATCGTTTTCCCACACCAACTTTTCGAACAAAATCCATTGATCGTATCTTGTGATCAAATTTACATAATAGAAGAGTTTTTGTTTTTCAGACAGTATCGTTTTCACAAACAAAAGATTGCTTTCCATCGTGCTAGCATGAAGTTTTATGCCCATTTTCTGAAAGGGCAAGGTTCCGAAGTCATTTATATAGATGCACATTCAGACCTCGGAGATATCCGCAAACTACTTCCTTATCTCAAAGCCAATAATGTGCATGAAGTCATTTATATAGACGCGACAGATAAGTGGTTAGACAAACGAATATCTAGGGTTTGTTACGAGTTAAAATTAGCTATTACCAAACTTCCATCACCTTTATTCATCAATACACTAGAAGAAATAGATACTTATTTTGCCAATAAAAAGCGATTTTTTCAAACAGATTTTTACAAACATCAGCGCCAAAAAAGAAATATCCTATTGGATGCAGCGGGAAATCCTTTAGGTGGAAAATGGACTTTTGATGATGAAAATAGACTCAAATATCCAAAGGACAAAATACCACCTAAAACAACTCCGATTACGCAAAACGATTACTATAAAGAAGCCATTGCCTACACAGAAAAACATTTTGGTGATCATTATGGAAAGGTGAATACTGACTACCTATTTCCCACAACATTTGACGAAAGTAAAACTTGGTTGAAAGTATTTTTTAAAGAACGATTTGAAGAGTTTGGAGCTTACGAAGACGCCATCGTAGCCAAGGAAGTGGTCTTGCATCATAGTGTACTTACGCCCATGCTCAATGTTGGACTTTTGACGCCACAATTCATCATAGACGTGACCCTAAAATATGCTGGCGCTCATAATATTCCCATCAATTCTACAGAAGGATTTATCAGACAAATCATCGGTTGGAGAGAGTTTATCCGAGCAGTGTATCAACTGAAAGGTACCCAAGAACGCAATCGCAATTATTGGGGATTTACACGAAAAATACCTGAGTCATTTTGGAAAGGTACCACAGGCATCGAGCCGCTAGACAGTACCATCAAAAAAGTTTTGGACACAGGATACTGTCACCACATAGAGCGATTGATGGTCGTAGGCAATTTTATGCTTCTTTGTGAGTTTGATCCTGATGAAGTGTATCGATGGTTTATGGAGTTGTTTATCGATGCTTATGACTGGGTTATGGTACCAAATGTCTATGGTATGAGTCAGTTTGCAGATGGCGGTTTGATGTCCACCAAACCATATATCAGTGGTAGTAATTACCTGATGAAGATGAGCGATTTTAAGAAAGGTCCGTGGCAAGAAACCTGGGATGCGCTATTTTGGAGATTTATGCATGTACATCGGGATTTCTTTTTACAGAATCCACGTTTAGGTATGTTAGTACGTAGTTTTGACAAGATGCCCATAGAAAAACAAAATACACTTCTATCAAAAGCAGATAAATTTATAAATACCTTGTAATGAAGTTTTGGAGTTAAGAAAAGGAAAAAGCCTTGTACGCCGCAGCGCAGGGTTCTTTTTGTTAAAGCCTGTCACGACTTTAGCGTGGACAAAAGAACAGTAAGTAAAATTCTCCCACCGATCGATAAATTTTAGTAATTTTCAAATTTTGGAAAGACAAATTAAAAATAACAACTCCGAAACTTAAATACCTTATAATGAATATATTACTTACGGGCGTCACAGGATATATCGGACAGCGACTTCTACCTGTCTTACTCGAGCAAGGCCATCATGTGGTTTGTTGTGTGCGAGATGCTCGTAGATTTAAGTACCATAATTACAACAAAAATGACATCACCGTCATAGAAGTTGATTTTTTGAATCCCGAAACGCTAAAAGCCATACCAGAAAACATAGATGTGGCATATTACCTCATTCATTCCATGTCTACGCTGTCAGGTGATTTTGAAAATATGGAAGAAAACTGTGCCCAATACTTTAAAGAAAGACTAGATCAAACCCAAGTAAAACAAGTTGTTTATCTCAGTGGAATTGTAAATGAAGTAGAACTATCTCGCCACTTGACATCCAGAAAACACGTGGAAGATATCTTGTCAGATGCAGATTTTGCTTTGACTACTTTGCGTGCAGGTATCATAGTAGGGTCGGGGAGTGCTTCCTTTGAGATCATCCGAGATTTGGTAGAAAAATTGCCTGCCATGATCACACCCAAATGGCTCAAAACGAGATGTCAACCAATTGGAATAAGAAATGTGATTCAGTTTTTGGATGGTGTCAAAGATAAATCTGAAACCTACGGACAGACTTACGATATTGGTGGTCCTGATATACTAACCTATAAAGAAATGCTACTCAGATTTGCCAAAATCAGGAATCTGAAACGATACATATGGGTAGTGCCTGTCATGACGCCCAAAATCTCATCCTACTGGCTGTATTTTGTGACTTCCACCTCGTATGCATTGGCAAAAAACCTAGTTAACAGCATGAAAGTAGAAGTCGTCTGCAAACCCAATAATCTGGCAGAATTACTAGGCATAACGCTTTTAGATTATGATACTTCCATCAGATTGGCTTTTGGTAAAATAGAACAGAATCAAGTCATTTCTAGTTGGAAAGATGCTCTCACAAGCGAAACACTCAACAAAGGCATCTCTCAGTATATCGAAGTTCCCGTTAATGGATGTTTTACAGATATTCGCAAAGAAAAAGTAATAGATATTTCATCCACCATGAACAAAATATGGTCGATAGGCGGACAGAATGGTTGGTACTATGGCGACTTCCTGTGGGGATTGCGTGGATTTATAGATCAGCTTTTCGGTGGCGTAGGTATGCGTCGTGGTCGAAAGAGTCCCACAGAAATTCATTCAGGTGATGCCTTGGACTTTTGGCGTGTACTTTTAGCAGACAAAGAAGAAAAAAGATTACTCCTTTATGCAGAAATGAAACTCCCGGGCGAAGCATGGCTTGAATTCAAAATAGATGAAAAAAACAACTTGACCCAAACAGCTACTTTTCGTCCTTTAGGTGTGATGGGAAGATTATACTGGTATGCAGTGCTGCCTTTTCATGGTTTTATTTTTAATGGGATGATCAAGAAGTTGGTGGGTAGATAGTTTTTATAAGGTAGTAACATTTAGCGATCGCTTAAAACTTATTATTGAAAGGGATTCGTCCTATTGATTGATATTAAATATAAATTTGCTGGTTAATCCGATCAAAGGACCTTATTGTTTATTTAACCCGGATTATGCGTTAGAACTTCGTTATGAGAAGCTAAAATGCAATAAATCAGCTATTTAGTTTCGAAAAACGTAGCACCGCTACGGTTACAGAAAATAAATCGTCCGCATCGGCGGATTCTGATTTGCAGCAGTTTAGTTTCGGAATAGATTTTCTAATGCATATTTCGGGTTTAAATGAAAGAAATCAAAAAAAGGTTTACTTTTGTCTTACAGTAATTGTACTATGCGGCTTTTAGCGACAATTTTAATCATATTTGTTACCATAACAAAGAGTTTTAGCTCTGATAGCATTACAGTATATCTTTTTTTACTGGATGAATGTCGTATTTGTCAGGAGTTGGCCCCAGAGATCAACGCAATTCATGCTGAGTTTACAAAGAAGAATATCGGTTTTATAGGTTTGTTTCCCAATTTTGCTTCTAAGCAAGGTGGTATTGATAAGTTTAAGAAAAAGTACAACATAACCTTGTATACTCGAACTGATTATTATAAAAAAATCGCACAAAAATTTAATGCCGAAATACTCCCGACAGCGGTAGTGTTTAATGAAACAAAGCAAAAAATCGAGTACATCGGAGCCATCAATGATTTGTTTTACAAACCTGGCAAAAGGAAATCACAAGCAAGAGAACACTATCTGAGAGATGCTTTAAGTAGCGTGATAAAAGGAGTGTCACCAGAGATCAAATCTACTCAACCCATAGGCTGTTTTATAAATTTTAATGACAATCTTTTAAACCATTAAATAAAATGTTTAGAATACTTCCTTTCATCATTTGCACTATTTTTTTAACTGAATTTGCTTTAGGGCAAGTCTCATTTAACAAAGATATAGCGCCTATTATTTTTAACCACTGTATGTCATGTCACAGACAAGGTGAGATCGGGCCAATGAGCCTTACCAATTATGAAGAAGTAAAAAACTGGGCATATACCATAAAGTATGTCACAGAACAACGTATCATGCCACCATGGAAAGCAGATCATGATTTTAGTAGGTTTTTGGGCGAAAATTATCTCAATGATGATCAAATCAAAAAGATTGCTGATTGGGTAGATGATGGACTCCAGGAAGGATTGGCTAGTGATTTGCCGCAAGCCCCAGTATTTCCTACCAATTCATTACTTGGTACACCAGACTTGGTGCTCACCTTTAAGAATTCTTATACGCACAAAGGAAATGGGAAAGATGAATATAGGTACTTTGTACTACCTAGTGGACTCGTTCAAAATAAAAAGATAAAAGCTTTAGAGTTGCGTCCAGGCAATACAAAAATTGTACACCATGCCTTGTTTTTTGCAGACCAATCAGGTAAAGCTAGACAATATGATGCACAGACGCCCGAATATGGTTTTTCAGCAGATGATTTTGCAGATTTTGATGCTTTCGAAGTGATCAATAGAGACCAATTTCCAGGTTATGTGCCAGGGCAAAAGTCTAGGTACTTTCCAGATGGTTTGGCACAAGATATGCCTGCCAATAGTGACCTAATAGTTCAGATGCACTACGCACCTTGGAGTGTAGATGAAAAAGACTCTTCTACCGTCAATATATTTTTTGCAAAGTCTAACGAAGTTATAGACCGCACAGTCAAAGGAAAAATAATGCTTCCTTTCGACCTAGTGACTGGTGCTAATTCTTTCTTTATATTACCTAATCAGGTAAAGAAATTTGAAGGAGTTTACACCGTGCCATTTGATGTAAGTTTGATCGGACTTTCTCCACATATGCATTATCTAGGCAAAGATTGGGAAGTAGTATTAGAAAATCCTGATGGTACGAAAACAAATCTGATTCGTATCAACGAATGGGATTTTAATTGGCAAGGCGATTACTACTTTAATAAGTATATTTATGCTAAAAAAGGTAGCAAGATCAGGGCAACAGCTACCTATGATAATACATCAAATAATCCAGCAAATCCTACTTCGCCACCTAAATTTGTAACGTGGGGAGAGGGTACAAAAGATGAGATGTACTATCTACCTATTTTTTATGTTCCCTACAAATCAGGAGATGAAAATATCGTTTTCGGAGAGACAAGCACATCTGTGAATGATAACAGGTCAAAACATATTTCAGGTAAGATATTTCCCAATCCTGTAGCTAGAAATCAAGCTTCTTGGACACAAATAGCATTTAGTCTTACTTCAGGTTTTCCTGTCAAAATAGATATTATTGATGCTACGGGTGCAGTTGTTCGCAATATTAGAGACAATGAATATTTTGGACAAGGTGATCACTTGATTCATTTAGAAACCCAACAACTTACTAAAGGTACATATTTTGTCAAAATCAGTGGCAATCATGATCAGTTGGTGATGCCATTGGTTATTTTGGATTGATGATGTTATAAGATAGTAGGGCGGCTAAAAAAGTTAGTCTCGCTTAAAATGCTAAATTTTAAACATCCGGTTTATACCAATATTTTAAGGATAAGAAGTGTATACAACTGACGTTCAAAAATAATGTAAGCTAAATGCAAGGGTATTAATGTTATTATTCTTATTTCCTTGCATTTAGCTTGAGTTGTTTTAAAGACAAACATTTAATTTAACTGTGTTTGTGTTTTTTGACAGACCCGATTCATTTTAAAAGTTTGTTTTAAATAAAAC